AATGTAAAAATATCCTCAAGTGAGAATCAAAAAAAAAAAAAGTTGACATTATAGTGTTAACATATGTCTATAGATCATATGTTTTGATCCATATATCAATAGATATATCCATATATCAATATATATCAATAGATCAATGGAATAGAGGGAGAATTGAGAAATAAATTCTTACATCACAGTCAGCTGATTTTTAACACGGGGGCCAAGACAATTCAATGGGGGAAAGAACAGTCTTCTCAACAAATGGTATTAGGACAACTGGATATTCATATGTAAAAGAATAAAACTGGCCTTGGTTGGAGTATGGATGCATACGTCAAAAGGTCATGGGTTCAATTTCCGGTCAGGGCACACACTCAGGTTGCAGGTTTGATTCCCACTTGGGGCATGTACAGGAGGCAACAGATCAATGGTTCCCTTCTCTCTCTTTCTAAAATTAACAATAAACTGGACCCCTACCTCACTCATACACAAAAATCAACTCAAAACAGATCACTGACCTAAATGAAAATGCCACAACTACAAAACTCCTAGAAGAAAACATCTGATGGAGGACTTGTATTCATAATATATAAAGAACTCTTTACAACTAAAAAAAAAAAAAGATAATACAATTCAAAAATGGGGAAATATTTATACAGACATTTCTCCAAAGAAGATATACAATGGCCAATAAGCACATGAAAAGATGTTCAAGATTTGCATTTTCCTAATGTAATACAACTTGATCTGCCTTGGTTGGTTTGGCTCAGTGGTTAGAGTGTTGGCCCATCAAACAAAGGGTGATGGGTTCAATTCCCAGCCTAGGTTGGTGTGGTGCGGGAAGCAACTAGTCGATGTGCCTCTCTCACATTGATGTTTTTTTTCTCTCTCTCCCCCTCCCTTCCATTCTCTATCTAAAAATCAATAGAGAAATATCCTCAGGTAAGGATTAACCAAATAAAAATAAAAAAATAAAGTCTGGCTGGTGTTGCTCAGTGGACTAAGCATTCTCCTATGGACTCAAGAGGTCCCAGTTTAATTCCGTCAGGGTGCATAAATGGGTTGCACACTTGATCCCCAGTAAGGGGCGTTCAGGAGGCAGCAGACAGATGTTTCTCACTCTCCCCCTTCCTTTCTCTCTAAAAAAATCAACAAAAACATATTTAAAGAACAAAACAACATGATCCCACTTCACACTCACAAGGATAGCTAAAATGAAAAGTAGAGACTATATAACAAGTGTTGGGGAGGATTACAGAAAAACTGGAATCCTCATATATTGCTGTTGGTATTGTAAAATGGTGCAGCCACTCTGAAAAACAGTATGGTGGTTCCTCAAAAGATTAAACATGGAGTTACCAAATGACTCAACAATTTTACAATTAGGAGTAATATAACCCAAGTGAAAAGAAAACATATTCATACAAAAACTTGTGCACAAATGCTCGGAGACAATCCAAATGTCCATTCAACTTATGAATGGATAAACAAAATATGGTATAGCCATACAATGGAACATTATTAGGTAATAACAAGAAATGAAGTTCTGGCCCGGTCGGTGAAGCTCACTGGTTGAGTGTCGACCCGTGTACCAAGAGGTTGGCAGTTCTATTCAGGGCACATGCCCAGGTTGTGGGCCCAATCTCCAGTCTGGGCATGAAAGAGGCGGCCAATCAATGTTCTCTCTCATCAATGTTTCCATCTCTCTCTCTCTCTCCCCCCCCCTCTAAAATCAATAAAAAAAATAAAAACATAAATAAAAAATTAAAATTTTTATAAATTCACTATTTTAAACATTTAGGTATAAAGTTAACCAATGAAAACCAAAGTTGTTTTGATGAAATGGTAAATCAGAAATTATGAAACAGATTTTTCAGTTTCATATCAGTTTCAGCATGAAATGAACTTCATCTCTTATTTTCTATGCACATTAGAAGTCTTGATACACACATAAGTATTTGTAAGTGGTAACCATTTGTAATAGTTTTCTTAATGAAAAAAAAATTTTTTCTTTATTGATTTTTAGAGAGAGAGGAAGGGAGAGGGAGAGAGAGACAGAAATATTGATGAGAGAGAACATCGACTGGCTGCCTCCTGCATGTCCCCCGGTGGGGATTTGGCCCACAACCTGGGCATGTACTCTGATGAGGAATTGAACCAGCGACCTCTTGGTTCATGGGTCAACACTCAACCACTGAGCCACACAGGCCGGGCTAGTTTTCTTAATTTTTAATTAGAAAAATTTAGACTAAAAGAATTACAAACACAGTATAAAGAGCTTCCTGCCCTGGCTGGTGTTGCTTAGTGGTTAGAGCATCCACCCAAGCCCCAAGGGGTTGTTGGGTTTTATTTCCAGTCAAGAAACCTGGGTTGCAGGTTTGATCCTGGTCCTAGTTGGGGTATGTGCTGGTGGCAACCAATCGATGTGTCTCTCTCACATTGATATTTTTTTTTCTCTCTCTCCCACTCCATCCCTCCTCCTTCCACACTATTGAAAAACAATGGAAAAAATATCCTTGGGTGAGGATTAACAAAAAAACAAAAAGCCTGCCATAGCTGGTCAAGTCTCTGTCACTTTGACAGTTCTGCCTCCCTCTTTCACCTTTTCAGAACTCTTGTAATTACAGTAGGCCAGCAAATAATCCAGGATAATCTCCCTATTTTAAGGTTAGTTGATTAGCAACCTCAATTCCATCTGCATTCTTTTTTTTTTAAATCCTCACCCGAGGACATTTTTCGATATTTTGTTCAGGTAGAGTGGGAGGGAGGGAGAGAAACATTGTCATGAAACGGACACGAGTGGTCGCCACCCACAGGACCCAACTAGGACCCAACTGCAACCGAGGTACGTGCCCTTAGCGGGAACAGAACGTGGGTCTCTCCAGACCGCAGGCCGCGGCTCTATATCGCTGAGCCAAACAGGCCAGGGCCCATCTGCAGTCTTAATTCTCTCTTGTCATGTGATATATTCACAAGTTCCAGGGATCAGGACACGGAATTCTTCGGAGGAACCATTATTTTGTCTCCCACACCCTTCTCGGTTCAAATAATCCAGAGTTCATTCATTCAATAAGGCCATTTTATTGAGCACCTAATATATTTTGGTCTCTGGTAGGCACTGGACATACACAAAAGAACAGAGTACTATCTTATCTGCCTATTCTTGGCTGACAATTCATGTATCAGTGCAGTTACTGAAAGCTAACTTAAGGCAGAGATGTAAGTAATTTTCTTTATATATTGGTGTAGTGGAGTTCATTAAAAGTGCACTTTTCTTTGTAGCATATGCAATTATGTTACCGGTGAAAAATTTTACCATGAAGGCAATGTTGTATAGTGAAACAATTTAAGCTTTTAAGAGACAGGCAAACTAAAGCCTAAAGATAAATTTACTGGACTTTTCTGAGCCTCACTCAGGCTTTTCATCTGTAAATGGGGATAAAGTGATCTGTCTCAACATGTTGTTTATTATAATTAAACAAAAACACACATTCTCGCCCTGGCCGGTTTGGCTCAGCAGTTAGAGCGTAGGACCACGGACCATAGAGTCCCAGGTTCGGTTCCCCCCAAGGTCATGTACCTCAGTTGCAGTTTGATCCCAGCCCAGGTTGGGGTTGTACTGTGCGGGTGGCAACCACTCTATGTGTCTCTCACCTCGATGTTTCTCTTTCTCTTTCTCCCTCTCTCCCTCCCACTCTAACTGAAGATAAATGCAAAAATGTCCTCGAGTGAGGGTAAAAAAAAGAACACACATTCTCCTATAATGGTATTCTACAAATGTTAATTCTCTTTCTCTTCTCATGTTTAAAGTATCTAACATTCACTTCAACATCTCCATGACTTGCTGTGCGCCAGACTATAAAATAATAATAATAAAGAAATGTTAGCCACAGTCCCTGCCCTTAAATTAAAAACGTGTTGGTAGGGTAACACACTTGCATTTGTAACATAATGAAAGATCAGTGTAAACTTAAATGGGCTCCATGAAAAAGTTGGAATTTAAGATGGTTAGGAAAAGCAAGTATATAGTCAGGTAATTAAAACTGTTTCTTCCTTACCTTAAAAAAATCAAAGCAAGCAAACAAAACCTGATCCATACACTGAAATATGGTTAAGGGGGAAATTTAGGAGTGTCTACTTGACCTTTAGAGCTTGACCAGAGCTTTGAGATCCCAGTGATTTTCAAACTATTTCCTAGATCTCTATAAGTCCACCGATATTGAAGCAAAGAGAAACCTATGTAGATCCCCTTCCTAATTTATTTTGCTTTACCCTTTGGGTGAAACTACTAACATCTACTAGATAAGATACACTTTGGGATTACCTGTATTTTAATAGTCCACAGTCCTCTTGAGTAAACGTTTGTACAGTTTTGAGAAACAAGAATTAGTAGCCACAGAAATCGGATACGCCTAGTTTTGCATTGTTTTATCAACAATTTGGAAGAATAAGACACAGACTACCAATTACACCTACAAACCTTATCAACATCAACAGTACTCTGAACGATAATATAATACTCTGCACTTTCCCTGTGCCTAGGAGCTAACTCTACTTTACATAAATTATGTTATCTAATATGGAACCAAGAAAATAACTTTCCGAAGGGCATAGAAGACAGAAGATCGAGTCCAGAACTGAACTAGAAATATGTGGTTTCTCTATCCTCTAACGTCAGGTAGAAAATGTATCATCCATCCATGAGGCACGAGTAGTGTACAAAAGGACTGTGGTGTGAAATTCGAGAAATTTAAGCTGGGGAAAGAAAAGAGAAGGAAAGGAAAGGGAAGGAACGAAAGGAAAGAAAGACGGAAGGGAGGGAAGGAGGGAGGGAGGCAGGCGGGCAGGCGGGCGACCGATGTGCCGGTTTTTCCTAGGGTCCCGAGTCCTCAACACGGAGCCCGGAAAGAAGTTCCCTAGGAGGGTTGTCTGCCCTACTTAGACTCACTCCCTACCTCCTGGAAGTTCCCGTTCCCTTTCCTCATAGGTACAACCCCCATGCCGGTTCATTCCCTCACCGAGAGTCGAGGACCAGTCCTCCTAACGAAGTAAACAGCGGACCCTGGCTGACTCCACAGATCTCGTCCCACAGCAGAAAAGCAAGCTCGGCTCGTACAACAGGAAACTACTCAACGCGCAGCCGCCGCGGCCTCCAACCACCGCCTAGCGGAGGGGCGCAGAGCCGCCCCCAACCCTCTCGCCAGGGCCCGGAGGCGAAGCAGAGAAGCGACCCGTACCGCCGCGTTGCCGTGGCCGGGGAAGTAAGTAGTCATAGGTCTCTGTCCGCTACTGGGGTAGTTCCAGTCATAACGGCCTGCTCTTCCTGTTTCGCCGGTCCTTTTCTCCCCCTTTCCAGCAGCCAACGGAATGGAACAGGCCCGCGGGGGGGATTGTGGGAGGCGCACGCGCGAAGGGTGGAGGGAGTTGGGGGGGCGGAGGAGGAGGAGGCGGTGGCAGCCGCTGGTAGCAGTGGGGGCGGGGAAGGGGGGGTAGGAAAGAAGAGGAGGTGGAGGTGGTGGAGGAGGAGGAGGCTTGGGCTCGCGCAGCTGGAGGTACGCGTAAGGGCCCGCGCCAGAGCCGGCTAGGCAGGGGCTGAGGAGAAGTGGGGGACCGTGCGAGGAGGCGCCCTTGAGCCAGCGCGTACGGACTGGCGGGGGCGCAAGGCGACCAAAGGCGGTGGTTGGTGGGAGCTTCGAGCGACGAGCCCAGCTACACTCTGGCGCGTGCGGGCGGGCGTGCGCGTTCCGCCGCCGGAGTCGGGTGAGGGGGGAGGGCAGAGGGGGAGAAATCGAAGAGGGAGGAGTGGGAGGGGGGGGCACGAGGCGCCCTCCGCTCCCTCCCTCCCGAGGAGCTGCCGCCGCCGCCGCTCTGCCGCCGCCGCTCCGCCGCCATTTTGGGTTCGCTTTGCGGAGGGGGAGACGTTCTCTGTCTCGGTTGCGGGACCCACCTCCCCTCAGTTTCCCTAGCCTAGCCCCACGCCTTTCCCTTCTCCTCTCTCGCATTTCCGCCAGTCCGCTCACCCGCTGGCCTCCTCTTGACAAGCGAGAGGGATTCACTGTGGACCAAGGGAAGCGGAGAAGCCTGGTGGCGGCCGTCCCCTCTTCCCCACTTCCCTGCACTCTCCTCTTTCTCGGCCTCGGCCTCGGCCTCTGACACGGTGAGTAGAACCGCCTGGGGAGACCTTTGGGCCTAAGTAATTCCTCAGCTACTCGATCCTTGGCTTCCTGGGCGCTCCTGTCATCTCCCGGACCTGTACCTCCGGGAGAGCGGTGGTAGGAATGGGGGAGGGGAAAGTAGGGAAGGGGATCCTGAGCTTATCGGGAAGTCCCTCCTGGTTGGGGTGAAGGGGTGTCCCTTACTGGCCGTCTGCTGGCTTGGGGGAGGGGGGGCGGGAAAGTAAGCAAGTGGAGGCGGAGTTGTCTGTGTTCCTGACAGGTTTAGTTTGTGTGTGTAGGCTGATTGGAGCATCCCCCACGGTCCGAAATTTGGACGAGAGTGGCAGGAGAGGTGATCTTCTGAGGGTAGTTACCTGTGGTATCCCTGATACGCTGAACTGTATGTAGAAGCAACAGAATGATCTCAGTGTTTTAAGTTCAATAAATGTTACTGGTTAGTTTGTATATGGAAAGACATGTTTTTGGTCTAGAAGACAGATGGTCTGTTGGTGTGTAGCGGCTGTTTGTGTGTGTATGTAAGGAAGGAAAGTGTTCCGGAAGAGTGTGCTTGTATTTGTATAAGGGTAATGGAGTTCCCCTTATAAGTTAGCTTCTTTTAAAAATAAAACTTGGGATCTTTCCAGCTGGTTGATTGTGTATTTTAGGGTTCGGGAGCACGTTATTACTTGTTGGGAAAGAGCACTCATGGCAGCGGTATTTTAGAAATACTTTATAGTGTGTATGTGTGGGTTCAGGCATGGGAGAAACTTGTCATAGCCAGTTGTGGTCTTAAGAATAGTTTGTTTCTTTGAATAGAGCGAATTGTGTAAATGTGAAGGTCCAGACCATCTTTAACAGAACAATTGTGAGACTATAAAGAATGTATGGCCTTTTTCTGGACCTGAGTTTATATTAAATACTTATAATAGAATAAAGCATTTGTATTTTTCACACTGCACTTTCAGTTTTTGTGTCATCCTAAATCCCCGTGAAAATGGTAGGATAGATGTTTTCTCCTATTTTACAAAATAGGAAATTGAGGCATAAAGAGATAATTTTTCCAAGGTCACATGTTAAATTGGGGATAAAGTTGGGACTCCAACTCAAATATTTTGACCACTAGTCCAGTAATATACTCATCATACAATGGAGCCTCTGGTCTTTGTCAGGCAAATCTGTGCTTATTGTAAAGATAGGGGCATATATGACTGGTTGGATAATGTATTTGATACAGATAAATTGTGTCAGACATGTATGTGGAATGTAGGTTGTCCTTGCCCAGGTTGGCCTGTATGAAAATATGTATCTATGACTACATTATTTTTTGTTTATGGAGGAAGAAGAGCATTTCTGAAACTTAGGCTTGTGTGTTTGAGAGGACTCTTGTAGCTTAACTTTACCAGAGCAGCTACATGGGGCTAACAGCTTAAGTTTTGTTTTATTTTATTTTATTTTATTTTATTTTATTTTATTTCGACAGCTTAACTTTAAATCTGTGGGAGGAAGGATCTTTCATTCAGTCAACAAATATTTTTGAATAACTGCTAAATAAATAGTCCTGCCTTGGGCTGAGAATAACCAAGGTGACCCTGTTGAAAAAGCCTGGGTACATATGAAAGGGGAGCAGATAAGTCAGTATGGAATTGAAAGTAGAAAACCTTCCTAAAAAATGTATTCAGTTTGGAGGGAATTTAGATCTTCCAGACATTTTAATGTGGAAGGATACAAGTGTATTTAAGACTCTTAACAGGGTAGCCAGGTTGTGATAGAGTGTACCTTCTTTTGCCTTTGGCTAGGGGTTAGGGGAGCAGGCATTTATGACTAAACTATTCTTGTTATTTGGGAATTGTTATATATGTCTGTGGATGTTGAAACTTTGGCTAGGCTGAAGGAATTCTTTGAAGGACTAATCTTATAGTAAGTATCTCCTTTATGAATATGAGAGAAGAAGACTTTAACAAAGCCAAGTTAACTTTATTTCTTTGGAAAATGGAATGTTTTTGATGTGCTAGATTAATGGTTCTTAAAGTTTTTGGGGGACATTTATTCTTCTGAGAATCTGTTGAAAGACCCTTACTGTAGGAAATGACATAAGAACAATCACACAAATTATGCACACAATTTCAGAGACTTAAATTGTAATGAAATAGAACCAATTTATATTCAGGTCTCATTTGAAAGCCTTTTTTCTCTCTCTAGTTTTGTTTGGGATTGGGGATGCTAGTATGAGTTTAAGATGAAAGATTCTGTGATAGTATTTGAGCATGTAGACAGTAAGGAGAACTTGACTATCCATGTTTTTTATTAGTTTTATTTCTTTGCATACTTATTTCTGCGGTGTTATGTGATTCTGAATTAGGTGATAAGAGAATATAATATAGCACAAATATTTATGGATTTATTCTTTTTCATTATCTTTTATTTTCAAACTTCTGTCTTTCCAGTTTTGTATTGGGACTGAGGTGTTTTGAAGCTCATTTCCTGAAGTTTATCTTAGTTATAACAAACATTGAGCTAATTCTATGAGGGGACACAGATGAATAATACATGGCCTCTGCTCTTGAATGAATTCTAATCCAGTTGTAGCTATGAATTGTATGATGGTAGAGATGTTCAGAAGGGCAAGGAGGCAGGAAGCATATTCCTGGGAGTTAAGGTTTCATGATTTATTGCAGAGTTTTTGCCACTACTTATTCTTAGGAAGCTGTAAAGTCTTCATACTCTACATGCAACTTTGTAGCTAAAAATGTGCTTTGATAGCAAATGATTGATCATTTAATGTTTTTGGATTGAGGAACTCTGGTTTGAAAAGGAAGCAGACATTGGTTGCATTCTTTATCTTGTTTTGGAGGTATTTCTATAGTAAGTTTATGTGAAAAAGATCTTAATGTCATTTTTGGATGTACATGCATTTAATTGAGTAGTTCTGGTATAAATTGAGTAGTTCTTTCACAGAATACCCATGAATCTAGTACTGGAAATTAAAAATAATTACTATGTTTTTGCCCTGGCCGGTTTGGCCCAGTGGTTAGAGCATCGGCCTGTGGTCCAGAGAGACTTGGGTTCGGTTCCCACTAAGGGTGCATGCCTCGGTTGCAGTTTGTCCCTGGCCCTGGTTGGTCGTGCAGGTGGCAGCCACTCGATGTGTTCCTTTCACGTCGATGGTTCTCTCTCTCTCTCTCCCTCTCCATCCCACTCTACCTGAACAAAAAATGAAAAAATGTCCTTGGGTGAGGTTAAAAAAAAATAATAATAATAATTACTATGTTTTAAAAAGAATAAGAAATTCAGAAAGGTGTTTCAATAGGACAGATTATGGGATTCATTCAGTAAGATAATGGAAGAAAATGGTCTGATTGTCTCCTCTTTATTGTCATGGCCTCTATGTAAGAATGTCATGTAAATATGTGAAAAGTTAAAATTTTCTCTATTTTTTTTTTTTAGATTTTGCTTTTATTTATTTACTTACTTATCTTCACCTGAGGACATTTTTCCGTTTTTTGTTCAGATAGAGTGGGAAGGAGAGAGAGGAAGACAGAGAGAGAGAGAGAGAAAGAGAAACATCTATCTGAAAGGGACACATTGAGTGGCCGCCTCCCGCAGGGCCCAACCAGGGCCAGGAACAAACTGCAACCAAAGTACGTGCCCTTAGCAGGAACCGAACCTGGGTCTCTCTGGACCACAGGCTGATGCTCTAACCACTGAGCCAAACCGGACAGAGAAAATTTTCTCTAATTCTTAACTTGGGTAGTAGGTTCATGGTATTTTATTACTATTTTTTAAAATATTTTTTTCCTCATTGATTTTAGAGAGAGAAGAAGGTAGAGGGAGAGAGAGAAACATCAATGAGAGAGAACATTGATTGGCTGCCTTTGGCATGCCCTGCACTGGGGGTTTGGCCCACAACTTGGGCATGTGCTCTGACCAGGAATCAAACCTGTGACCTC